TTTATATTTATAATAAAAAATTTTTTTACCCTTAAAATTATCTCATACAATATTTTCATCATTTTTTGTTCATGTAAGACGTAATGATGATGTTTTTAAAAAATCTTCGATGTTCATTTCTAAACAAGATGTCATTTTCTCAAAAAATATATTCTTTATAAAAAATGGTTTTGCGCGTCAATCACATAAGTTCCATATTCATGTACAGTAGTATAATAGTCCTATTAATGCAGGGGGGGAAAAGAAAAAAAAGAAAGAAATGAAAGAATCATTCATATTAAGAAAATTTGCTACTTCCGAGAATATTTTGATGGTTGTGGAAAAAAGAATTTACCGTTACTTTATAGAAGATGAATATCTACCTTTATTGACTATTTATTTAAAAATATTTCTTTTTATTATTTTAACATCAATGGCATTAAAAATTCCTTTTATTATTCAAACATTCGAAGGTTATACCATGTATGTACGTTAAATAAGGATTTGATTTGATATTAAACTTTAATCCAAAAAAGGAAATTGACAAAATAAGTTAACAAATCATTTAACGCGTACAAAAAAATATTTTTTTTTTTAATCATGAAATTATCTTTGACGTGAAAAAAAAAGCTTTACATTTTATGATTATAAATAATAAAAGTTTTTGAATTTTTAATAAATATACGTTTTAATTTAAATACATTTAATTATCTATAAAGCTAATATTTACCTATTAACAATAACGTGACTTTATGGTCAAAAGTTATTTATTCATGTATGATTTATTGAAAATACTCAATTTATTAAATCATTTATGCTTTCTCAAATTTTATTTATATTCTGCGTAATATATTAAACTAAATTTATCATAAATTATTATAATTTTAATTAAAACTTAAATGGCAAATTTACATTGTGTAAATAAATGTGAGAAAATTATTTATTCCATGTTTAGTTTCGTTTATTTAAAAGTTTATATTTATAGTATTTTTATAGTGTATATTTTTAGCTTTTTTTTTATTTTTTTTTATTTATAGTTTATATTTATGGTTTATATTTATAGTGATATATTTTTCGTGTACACTTTTTCATCAATATTCCGTCTTTAGATAATAAAAAAAGGAAATAACTATAATTTATAGATATAAGTTTTATAATTTTGGTTTTGTAATTCATAATAAATTTATAAACGCCAAAATTATTGTGAACTAAAATATTTTTAATTTATCCGATGCAGATGAATTCATCTTTGCATTATTGACTATTACGAATTGTTGTTATCGTTATTATTATTAAGAATTACTATGAATTGTTATGAACTGAATTCAAATTAATACAAATTTACAGATAATAAATACGCCAAAAGAATTTGGAAATCTTCAAAACACGACTTACGCCTGAATCTTATTTTTTTTTTTACAAAATAACTTTTGGTTGTTTATTGATGCAAATTTTATTCAATTTGTATCTTCGGATTTGTTTGTTCTTTTGTTTTTACTAATAAAGAAATTATGATAAGAGATAATGGTACCCACGATGATGATTAATTATGTGTTAATAAATTGCGTAATTATTGCGATCGTTTTTTTAATTTAATAACTTTTATAACTTAATTCATAGTCATATTCAACATATTTGTTTATTATTTAATATTTTGTATTATTTATATATTTTGTACATTTGGTAATCTTTTGTAATCTTTTGAAAAAAAATTCCAGAAACCTAAAACATTTTTAATAACTACAACTCTTATAAAAGGACCCGTTTTTCGTGGAAAATTTAAAGCCTTGTGGTCCTTTGACCCCCAAATAAATATAATATTTTTTCCTTCTTTTTATTAATTAAAAAAAAAAAGGTCAATAGCTTGATAAAAAGCTATTTAAACCAATCATTTAATTTTCCATCCGTGTTCTATTTCTACCCATTCAATTTTTCCAACTCATGACTACAATACTCATGATGATATGTTTATATGTTCACATGATGACAGATCGTATTTAAATGAATGTTCTTTTTTTTTTTTATTACAACCTATTTTTTGTCGAAAAGAATCATTTCCGTTCGAACTTCCAAATAATTTTGAATGAAATATTATTTTATTATTCTTCGTCGATTTTATTTCAAATAATACAAATAATACACTTCGTAAAATAAATTTCGAAAATTTTTGAAAAGATTCCAACGTTAAAACAAATCACAAATCACAAAATCATTAAAAATCATTAAAATAAAGCATGCACTTAAGAAATTTTAAGTTTAGAAATAATATTGTTCATAGAAAAGTGAAAGAAAACGCCGCAAGATATATGTTTATTTCTTCCTATTTCAATTTATTATTAAATTATAATGTTAATTATGGTATAATTATTATTATTTTTTTTTATTTTTTTTATTGCAGAAAGCCAATTATGATAATTTCATATAAAATAATGTTCTTTACATCATGTTTTTTTTTTTTTATAATTATTTAACATAAAATTATTTTCTACTGTTCTTTTTGTTCCTTCCCAATTTCCAAATGTTCTTTTGATTTCTAATCTTATTTTTAGTTTTTTTTTTTTATCTTCAATCCTTTTTTCTTTTCTTTTGATGACTTCTTTCCTTCTCATTTTAAAGTAAGTTCTCATAATCTAATAATCCCATAGTAGTATCATTTATATCCGTTTAATTTTTTTTTCAATTCATCATATTTCTTATCTCGTTTTTATTGTTTTTGCGTATACATATATTTTTTTATGTTATCTTATAATATTTTTTACATATCTAAATAAAAATTATCCATTTAATTTTTAAAACGAAGATTTGAAAATACCGAGGTCAAAATTTCATTCATTATTAAATCTGACAATGTACAAAGTGTTTTTTTTCAATTTTCGGAATGGCATTTTTGTCCAATCACATTGAAGATCTAAATGTTTTGAGTTAAGAAATTTATTTTCGAAGAATCAATCAAAATCTTAAATATCTCAATTCTTTATTATGTTAACTACCTTTGGTACCTAAATAAAAGTGTTTAACTCAAATTTTTTAGAACATTCGACTAAACTCTTAATAAACAAGTGTCACCTGACCTCAACACGCGAAAACTTATTTTACTTTTCTTCTAATGTTAAATATTGTCGTTTTGTCTTGTTTATTATTATTATTGTAATTTTATTAGTAAAAAACAACTTTACTTAGTTGCTTAAGATATATTGTCAATATGTTTTATTAACTTTGCTTGGAAGCAAAGTTTGTGTATTTAAATTGACTATGTTATGCATTTGAATAAATTAAATAAATTAAGTAAATTTAAATAAATTTAAATAAATTTAAATAAATTAAATAAATTTAAATAAATTAATAATGTAAGAGATTAAAAATATGAAATGAATGAGATCAAAAATTTTTAATATTTGTTTTGATTTGTTGTACTGAGGGGATATTTATGGATTCTATTTTCAGTAAAATTAAGAAAAATTAGAGAACAAAGAAACCTTTCCAAAAAAGATTAAATCTTCACGTATACAATTTAAAAGACAATAAAGACAATAATTAATGTAAAACGGAAAAAAAAATAATAAATAATATTTAATAAATTTCTCATCGTGCACCAGTAATCCCAAGTAGTGTATGAAAATTTGTTAAAGGTAAAGATTAACAAAAATTACTTAAATTAACTCAAGTTTATTAAATTCATTAATAAAAATTTATTGCTATCTAACCAAATTAATCATTTACTATAGAAAAAAAAAATTTTTTTTTATTTATCTCCTCATTGTTTTCTTTCACGTGTAGCCATCAATTTAATAATTGTAACTTTGACTTATATTTCACGATTCTTCGTGATGAGACCTATTTTGATACGTTCCTCGATCGCGATTATTTATACATTATCATAAGTTAAGGTTTTTTTATAATAACAATAAAAAACTACGTTATAAATGTTAGTAAACATATTATTCTCATTGGATACAAAAGATACCACCCGACCTCAAGTGACTTGGGACGACAACTTTTTCTGGATGCTCGTTTGCTTTAATTACAATATTAATATTATCTTTAAAAACTTTATTACATTAAAGAATTTATTTTAAAATTTTTCTCGTTCACTGTCTCACTGTATAAAAATTGGTTTTAATATCATCATATCATTTATCATAGAACAATTTCCAGTTAATCTGGATTGAAATTATTAAATTATGATTTTATTCTGCGTTGAATTTAAATTTCTTGGGAAAATTTAATAAATATGTCTATAAGTGGAATAGAAAATTAAAGTTTTGGGTGAGAGTTAAAAATTATCCCAAGAATGTTTAAAGATTTTATCAAATTTCTTTATGTGTTTATCTTTATCTTAGAATTACTTTTTTTTTAGAGAGCAACTCTTTAAACTTTGTTTCATAAAATAAGAAATATTCAAATTTTCTAAATTTTCTAAATTCTTTTCTTTGGTTAAGATAAAAAAACCAAGTCTAACGATAAAATTCTACATACATAAGTAGTTTTCATACATTATTTTTATAAATTATTGTCGGAACCAGTCAAAGAAGTTTGTGAATAGGAAAGATCTAGCAAAGTACATGCCATAATTTCAATTTTATTAAAAAAACGATCATTTCATAAAAAGGAAAAAATCCGAACGATAAATTTCATACATTTTTTCTCGTTCATCTTTACCAATAATCGTTAATCTTTTGAATTTTATCATAAAAAAAAAATTATTTAAATAAATTTCTCTTTCATTAATATCTGTATCATTGAATTTTTGGTCAAGAAAATTGTATATAAATTACTTAAAAGACTTTTGAAAAATTGAAATTGTTGACGAATTAACATTTTAATTACTTATTATTATTATTTTATTATTATTTTATTTTATTATTTCTTTATTATTTCTTGTAACAAATTATTTCAAAAAGTAAAAAGATAACAACAACAACAACAACTACAACATCAACAATAACAATAATAATAATAATAATAATAATAATAATAATAATGAAATTTAGCAAATCACTTGAAACAGAGAGTGTACCAGAATGGAGGCAAATGTAAATGAAATGTTTAAATTCCTTAAAATTATTAAAATTATTGTTTCGATCAATTTAAAAATAATTGATATTAAATAATTTTAAATAATTAATACAGACTTTAAATGTTGTTAATATTCTATTTTCAAATAAAAAAGGTACATCGATTATGAACGTTTAAAAAATATTCTAACTCTAGTAGAGCGTGAACGAATAACCTTAGAATTGAAAGAACTTGAATTAATCGATGATACAATTAACGGTGAAAACAATAATAATTTATCACGTGTATCCACATCAAATCATAAAATACCTTCCTCACCACATCCATCACATTTTATTGATGATGATGATAATTATATTGAGAGAAATTCTATCTTATCAAAACTTTCTTGGAGATTTACTACTGTGGTTAATAAAAGCAAATTAAGTTTCAAACCTACAATAAATTGTAAGTTGTGAAAATATTATTTGTGCATGATTATTTTATTTTTTTTCTTTGTCTTAGTTAAATTTATAATAAAAATGAATCGTTCTATTAATAGATGATCGAAAAATTAATTCATACGAAGTTTTGTTTGATCAAGTGAATGAAGAAGAACGAAAATTCTTTTTAGATTTACAAGAAGAAATTAATAAAATTTCTGAATTTTATGAAGGTAAATTTACAATATTTTGTTAAACATTTTCAATTAATATTTGTATTAATATATTTTATGATGTAACAAAAATTAGCAAAAGAACAAGATGCATTAAAACGATTTCAAAAATTAAAAAACATATTTAATGAATTATTACCAAATTCGAAAATATCCGTAAGTAAAAATTAGTGAATTCATGTTAGTTTAACAAAGTCTAACTACATTCTACATTTCCGCAGCCTCAAAGAAAATCCTATCCCAAAAATGAATTAAATATAATACTACCATTAAGTACTACAGATACAATGCATTCTCCGACTTTATGTGATGAGTCCGGATACAAAGGGTACGAAGAAGATATAATCGAAGATTATAACGATAACAATGATAACTATAACAACAATAACAAATCTCGAGATGAAGAATATATAAAAAAGAATAATTATACTCTTGAAAAAATCTCAGAAATTAATAATGATAATAATAACTTAACGAAAAGAATATTAAGCTCTGTAGAATTAAAAAATGCCAAGAGAAAGATTAAAAAAGCAGTTTTTGAGTTTTATCGTGGAGTTTTATTATTGAAAAATTATAAGGTATATAAAAAAAAAAAGAAATCATTTTGGAATATATTTTATTTTCATATCTCATTTCTTAACTTTTACGATATAGGTTCTAAATTATACGAGTATAATAAAAATTCTCAAAAAATATGACAAAATTTCAATGAGAAATGGTAGTGAGATTTTTGTGCCAATCGTAAATGAATATTATTTCATGAAATCAAAGAAATTGGAAATTTTAATTAAAGAAGTTGAAGTGAGTAAATAATAATATTCTCGTCTCTTTTGCAAAATTTTATGGGAAATAGTTAAAGATAGACAGTTATTAAGTATCACTACACTATTAACTTTCCTATTAATTATTAACTTACCTAAAAATACTATCCGATTTATAGTGAAAATTATATTAATAAAAAATTATATTATAAATTATATATATTTAACTTTTACTTATAACACGTGTTTTTATAAATTTAATATATTTAAAATAGACCTTTTATGTCGATAATTTCGAAGGAGGAGTAAGAAATCGAGCAATGCGAAAATTGCGAATTCCAAACAATCGTAAAAAGGTATTTTTTTTTTTATTATTTTATAAAAAAAAAAAAAAAATTCTTTAAAAATTATTCCCAAAAAACCAATAAAGGTCATATTAATATAAATGTATATATATATATTATTATTATTTTTTTTTTGTTATTTCTCAAGACATATCATTTTATATCATGGCGTATTGGTGTTTATATTGGATTAACTATTCCAATGATTTATTATTTATTAATATCGAGTAAGTAAAATAATATCCCTAATTCCGTTTCTTAATTCTATATAATTTGATATATGTATATATATATATATATAATATTTATTTAGATAAATTTTTAATTGTATAGCTTGGAATACTTTAAATAAATTTAATGAAGAACGATCATTGTTAATTCATTTATTACAAATTTATGCGGGATATTTTTTATTTATAATATTTATATCAATGTTTGGTCTTAATATGTATATTTGGACAAGAAATCATATAAATTATAAGTTTATATTTGAATTTAATCCAAGGAATAATTTAGATTTTCGACAATTTATTGAGGTATTTTTTATATTTTGATTGATTATTTTCTAAATTTTTTTTTTTTAAAAAATATTTTATAATTATTATCTATATTTTCTTATATTTTTTATTAATTATTTATCTAAATTTTTAAAGATTCCAGCATTAATGCTATTATTATTACTGGGAATGATGCACTTATCAATCCCTTTAAAATCTAATGTGAACAACGATCATTATTCTCTTATATTGGGAATAATATATTTGTCAATACTTTTTTGTCCATTACCTATTTTATATCATGATGCAAGAAAATGGATGGTTATTACTTTAGTAAGTAAATTTTAAATATCAATTACTTATAACTATATTTTTTAATTTATTTTTCATTTGTATTTGTTTTTAATGTATTTTAGGGACGAATAATGTTAGCACCAGCCTTTCGAGTACAATTTCGAGATTTCTTTATTGCGGATGAATTAAATAGTCTAACATACTCATTAACCGCCTTTCAGTTACTTGGAAGACCATTTTTCAATAATATGGGTTGTTTCGCTACAGGTAAATTTCTTTAAAATTTTTTATATCATTATTTAATAATATTTTATAATATTTTTATAAATATTTTATAATATTTTATAATATTTATAATATTTTAGATTGTTCTACTACTCAAAAATTCATTTGGACACCTATCCTAGCATGTTTACCAGCATTTTGGCGATTTAATCAATGTTGTAGACGTTATAAAGATACCAATCGAAAATTTCCTCATCTATTAAATGCTGGGAAATATTTTCTAAGTATATTTACGGTTTGGGTAGGATATGGAATGCGTTTAACAGGTAAAATATTCTTTAATTAAATAATTCTTTAATCAAATAATTCTTTAATTTTATATTCATTAATTTAATAATTCTTTAATTTTATAATTTAATAACTCAGGAAACATGACAATGTTTTACGTAATATGTCAAGTACTTTCATCAATTTTTACATTCTTATGGGATATAAAAATGGATTGGGCATTATTTAAATTTAATAGTTCAAATTTTTTACTTCGAGACGAATTAGGATTTAAAAATAATTCGAAAGTTTATTATTTTGCGATAATTACGAATTTATTACTTAGATTTAGCTGGACTTTAAATTATTTATTATTTGATTTTGATAGATTATTACTTTTCTTTATTATTGCTTTAGGAGAAATATTTCGGTGAGTAAATTATATAAAATTATATTATTAGTAAATTATAATTATATAATATTTTTTTATAATTTATAATTTTTATTATTTTTATTATCATTATTAGTCGATGGCAATGGAATATCTTTCGGATAGAAAATGAAGTGAGTTTATTATTATTATTATTATTATTATTATTATTATTATTATTATTATTAAATAAAAATCATCTTTATTATATTTATTATAGCACATAAATAATTGTATCGAAAATCGAGCCATCAAAGATATTCATCTTCCCTTCAATAATAATGATGATACAAGAAATGACACTAAAAACATTAATGATATAGAAATCGTTACTTCTCAACCACCATTACCATCATCAACTTTTCCATTCTTTAGTCATCAATCAAGAAATTCTACATCAAATAATAATGATAATAATAATAATAATAATAGAGATTTTGAACCTACATCTAATGTTTTTGATTATCACGATAATGAAGATGATGATGAAATAGAAAGTAGTAGAGAGAGAGAAAGAGAAATTAGTTTGAGAAGATTAGAAAGAAATGTATAATTTATAATTATTTAATCATTTTTTGTTAATAGACAAATAAAGTGGTGGTGGATATTAAAAAAAAAGAATTATTTTAGACTTTTATATTTTATAACAATCACGTTATATTATATTTACAGGCTGGTTATATGAAATAATGGATATAATAATTTATATCTGTATCGTGTTGCACGAAATAATATTAAACATTTTATTATTATAGCTTATTAATTATATTAATTATATTTTATTTTTTAAATTATATTAATTATATTTTATTTTAAATTATAGGACTCACTTAGCTCATGATTTACACGTTCAACGGTTAGAAAATATATATTTTTTAGATTCACTATGATAAAAAGACCATTGCCTTATTATTTGTCTAAATCATCAGCTATGGAAATATTTTCTTAATTTAATGAACGTAAAGTGTTTTTACACGAAAAAGTTTTATATTTCATTCTAATTCTTAATATTCATAGACATGGATACGAAAGACCTAAATAACATTAGTAATATGCAAATCACCATCGCAGCCTCTCATTAAATTCTTAAAAAATAGATAAGTATGATAATTGTTTTAAAGTAAAAAAAAAATACTACAACCACAAAACATCAGTATTTCTTTGCTTCTTTTGACTTTAATCATCAAGTAATTTAACTTTACGACGGATATAGAAAACGAGAGGAAGACGGTGTTTGAAAACCAGAAGATAGATATCATTGGACTAAATCAAATTTATTCTTTAATTCTTTAAATTCCTTATCGGAGTTTATTATAGCATGATAATTATGATCGAATTTCAACAATTATTTTGTAAAATTCATTTATTCTGCATTGCGAAAGAACATCAAAAACAATTTAAGGAAAATTTGTTCCACATAAAAAACGTATGGTAATTAATGTGAAAAAGATTTTATGATCAAGCGAGAGTATATATACCACAAGAAAATAGAGACTTTATAATTAATTGCAGCACTCTCTCATCCGCAGTTATATTTTCACATGAAAAACGAAATGAATTCCCTCATTTTCTTCACAAAAAAAATTAGTTTATTATATTATAATTTTTCAACAATACATGAATACTAATACAAAAAAAAATATTAAATCGTAAAATTGTAAAATACAATACTAAAAATATTAAAAACGGGAGGTAAACTTTTTATGAGAAAACATGCAATCTAAACCATTTTAAAAGAAATGTTTTCTAATATTATAAGGAATTTAAGCACTTAGAAGTGGTTCATCCACTAGTAATATTTATCATATTTATCAGTGGTGGTGGTACAGGGGGGGGAGACAGATTGTTTTTTTTCGGTTTCGGTATAGTAATAGGTGACAGGGGGTTTGGTTACATAACAGGTGGAAGTTACGGTGACAGGGGGTTTGGTTACATAACATGTAGAGGTTACGGTTACGGTGACAGGGGGTTTGGTTACATAACAGGTGGAGGTTACGGTAACAGGGATGGTGACAGTGGTGGGGTAGGGGATTTTGGTGGTGGTGGTGATGGTGCAGTAGCTGGTGGTGGTGTAGGTTGAAGGCTTACAAGTGGCGGATTTGTGTTCAATTGTAGTACAGGTTTTACACTCCTCCTTCTCGTGATCACGTTTTTCAGGGTCAGTTGGAACACCAAGAACACATGCAGCGGCTACGAGAGCGAAGAAAAGGAATAACAAGAATTTGTTCATCGTGATAATTGTTTTATGGAAGTAAGAAGAAATTATAATTGTATTACTTTATTTAATTGTATTACTTTATTTAATAAAATGAAATATATTAGTTTCGAAAAACTGAATAGCACTTGGTTGAAATCGCTTCCCTTTTATAACAAATTCCCACTATTGTGATAAAGAATTTTATATAATTATATATATTCAATTAATCGCGTATTCAAATATAATGTTCAAGTACGAATTATAATTCTTTCGTTTTTCTATGCCAAATATCTTTAAATAAACTTTGATCTAAAATTATCTCTTTGTACTATTAATAGACGAAAGTTAATTTATGCTCACAATAACGATGTATTTTATGTATTTTATCTAAAGATAAGAGGTAAGCGATATTTATTAAATCTTTATTAATTAATAAAATGAAGTTAATCACTTTTCATATTTATTGACATCATGTTTAGAAAAATCATTTCTCAATTAAATGAAATTACAAGTTTTCCAAATTAAGTCTTGTCTTGATTTAGTAAAAAAAAATTATTCCTGTTTATTAAGTAAATAATTGTGGCTTTTTATTACGAACATATTTTAATAATACTAACCATGAAAATATTTACGCCAATTTTAAATAGTTATTTTTAGATATCAAGGATCAAAGATCAGATCATCGAATATAATCTTACAATTAACTATGATTGTTTGTTTATAGTTCTATATTTAATTTAATAATTATTTTTTTTTATTACATTGTTTTTTTTTTAAAAAAAAACACCGTTTTAATTTCCTAATCCCTTTTAGGAATTTCATGTTTACGATCTTGTTATCTGAAAAATAAATAAATAAAATGTACGGTATTATTTGAGCCCAAGAGATACAAAATCTTAAAATTCTTGAGTGAACTAACTACCATTACATAATATATGAAAATTTAAGCAAATTTTTCTCATAAAAAAATGAAACATTTTGTGTTGAAAAAGAAAAATCTTGGCTATTTTCAATAAAAATATGTATCAGTTTTCTATTTTGTTCAAGTACAAAAAAAAATCAAGTTTTTATATTTATTGTACAATCATGGGATTCGATTTTTTTATGCAAGATACGCATAATTATGATGTATTCGCTTTGGTTCTCTATGTGACTATTTATTTTAATTGAAATTACTATATTGGATAAATTTCTTCATATATGAACGTATAATTATTTTTATAATTTTACGTGATTTTGTTTATAATAAGAAAAATTTAGTCTTATTGAGCATTTTTTTTTTTTTAAAGAATTTCTTGAAAAATTTACTATAAAAAATCTTCGCGTGCGAATCTGAATGCAGGTGTTTAAATTAACCAGGGTTTAGATAATCTATTAATAAATATCATAAATCCATGATCAAAAGCAAGAATGCTATAAAATGTTTACTGGTGTATTTAGTAAAATTCATTATTCATTACAAGGAACATTTTTGTTATTGCACAAACAAACAATTTTTTTTTGTATCGGGGGTTTGAATTTTTGATCTTGGAATTTTAATTTGTCGATTACAGATGAATAATTTTATCTCTAATAATATAAAAATAAAAATAAATTATTACTATTAATAGTTTTTAAGTTTTATTAAATTTTTATCCTTAAAAAAATAAATTGATTTCGTAATAATTATTCTAACCTTTTTTTGTGATATCAAAACTTCCTCGCTCGTAAACATGTAGTAAATAATAAATAATATTAATTATTTTAAGCAATTGTTCATACGAATAACGTCACTTTACTATCATCTTAACTTTCTTAATATAAAAATACTATTATTAATCATTATTATTATTAATAGTTATTATTAAGTTTTATTAATTTTATCCTTAAAAAAAATAAATTGATTTCGTAATAATTACACCCTATAAAGAACTCCCTCTTATAATCACACAGTACTTGATCCCTATTAAAATTCCCTCTTCTATCATGGTCCTATAGACTGTAGTCGAACCTTTTTTTCGTAACATACCCGCTCGTGAACATGTAGTATTTTTTTTATAATATTATTATTTTTGGCAACGGAAAATAGATATGGATATGGATATATTGTTGTTGGCGCTTCAGCTTTAGTAGCATTATGGGCTATGCTTCCAAGAAATCGCTGGGTAAAAGTCGTCATAATTTTAGTTTTAGTAAGTATTTTTACCAATTATGTAGGGGCATTTAAAATCGATTCGCCTCCATCACATAAAGTGAGGAAAAAAATGGAAGAAACTATCGAGAAATGGGACAGGCCTGATATTTCTAAATATTTGGGAATTGGCACGATTGTGAAAAGTGAAGGCAGCGTTAGGATTGATCATCAAGGTTTGATAACTGAGAAACCAGAGCATCGGGGAAAAAGATACGCTAATCTGCAGGTAAGTTCGGTTTAATATTTTGCATTTCTGCATATGAATATCTTCCTTTTACCCTTTTTACTCTTCTGTTAATTACATATTTGACATGTTCTCATAGCTCCAATTTGGGTCGAACACATTTGCAGTTGTAATAGTGCCTGTTGATGTAAAATTTGGCAAAGAGAAGTTCCGAAAAGCATTCTTGGAAAGCTTAAACAATAGAGAGCCGGTAAAACATGCATTATCATTGCTGAATTATAGAAATTTATAATTTTTTGTATACAAATTCATTTATTTGTTTCGTTGCTATTTCTTGTAGGAGTACCTTGAAGAGTCGGGAAAATTGGACTTATAAAGTTGCACATATTGGACATATGTCCAAGGCCAACACTGTTCATTAGATTAGAATAAGTCCGAGCGATGTTATCTAATTAATGATATAGACCAAAGATGATCGAAAAATAGATAGGATTACTATTTAAAATACATGAAGTGTAAAGTTTCGCTAATAACTGATAATTCATTTATACCCGTATTAAACTTCTTTAATGATCAATAATAATACATGTGTGCGACAACATAGCTGGCATGTGCTAAAAACATTGCGACATAGGCACCAATTTGAAAATAAACTATTAAATGTCCTTAAAATAGACCCTGGGTCCAAAATAGACCCTGGGACCCTATATAAATAAATTTTTTTAAAGTAGATAACTCGAGACAATTGTTGACTAAGTTAAGAGTGTAGACCCTGGGTCTAGAATAAATTTATCCTAATTATATATTAATAGTTATTAATTCTTTTGCTCGTTCAAAATATTTTTCATCTTCTGTATTGTTTGGATCTTTATCAAAATTATTATACTTTGCGATGAATTGTTTAAAGATTATGAAAGATGAGATTATTCTCCATGATTCTCCTAACTCAACTTAATTACGCCCTTCACCACCAGTGAGCTTAATAAGTTATAAAAAAATAAATTAATTTCGTATTTCGTAGAATGCCCGCTCGTGAACATGTAGCATATATATATTTTTTAATAGAAATCAATAATAATATAACGCATTGAAACAAACTATAATTAATTAATTAAATTATTATATTATTATTTTATTATTTATTATTATTATTATTATTATTATTATTATTATTATTATTATTATTATTACTTAAATAGTTATTAAATATTATTAAATATTATTAAAGTTTAAGTTGATTTCGTAATAATTGGTCTAACCTTTTTTATTACGTTTCGTAACATCAACTTTCCCCCGCTCAAATTCTAAGTGGGTATATTTAATAATAAATAGCATTTTCTCTATATAATCTATATAATCGATATAACGATGTCGTCCTTCAATTGTCTTTCAATCAATTCTTTAATTACTACATTATCACTAATTTATCCTCTCTTCTTCCTTTTGCCTCCATCACAGAATTTCTCTTTAGGAATCTAGATTTATAGTGATAAATTTAAAAAACAACATTACACTAAAATTTTTATCGGGAATTTTTTCTCAATAGGATTTAATATCATCAAATTATTGGATTATTGGTTAATTATGGTAAGCTAATTTGGGATATATAATATAATATATGAACCAAATATATTAACAATGAAGCGTACCTTTAAATCGGTTCTTATAAAGTTTTATTACGGTTACACCTGGTACTCGGCTCCTTTACCACTATCTTATTTCAATACCCCGCTTAGAACAGATTGTAACACTTTCCAACTTAAACTTTAATGAACTCTTGGAAATTCCTACAATGACAACAAAAAGCATAAAAACAAACAAATGGTATTAAAACGTGCGTACTAATTTATTTTTTTTCCGAATAACTATTTTGACAGAAAATATTTGGTATTACAGTTTATTAACCATATTTTTTGAAGAATATAAACACTTAGATTAAATATTTGAAGTTTACAGCTTAACACGCAACATTTTTTTTTTTTTTTTTTTTTTTTTTTTAAAAAAAAAAGGAAAATCTCAAGTTTCCCGTGATGTGATGATAATCAACTGATAATCAAAAAAACTAGTGAATAAAACTTACAATCCAAAATATTTATTTTGAATTATAGATACGGTCATGCAAATATTAATGTGCACCGAGTAGTTTGAACAAGCCCAAGCACTGATTCGACTTATAATAAATTTTCGGATTTGGGAGAGATAACAAAAAATTTAAACTATAAAGGAAGGTTGTGAAACTGTTATTTTTATAAATATATCTTTAGATAAAATAATTTATAATAATTTATCGGTGTCAAATTTGACGTTGGAATATATTTTTTAAAATAATAATATTACAAAATTTCACCAATAATAATAAATAAAAAAAATATTATCTTAAAGAAGAATTCTGTGAATCAGTTTATTCTGCATATGCATAATAGCAAGGGTCTTTGTGATTAAAGTTTTACATAGTAAGGTACTGCCCTACAGTTACAAAAAATTCTAAGCTGACAGGTCAAGCATGAAAGAGCATGATGTCCAAATGAATACTGATGAGTAATCAGCACCAAAGATGAAACGAAATATATAACTTAAATAGATATATAGCAAAACAGCTCGCCATTCAAAAATAGAATCCTGGTGTATCAACGAGATTTAAACTTGTTTTTATAAATAATTCCATACGATTGGGCGTCATCCATTCAATCTTTGTTAGTCAATTTAGTGGTAACACATCAAATGATTTCGTACTCACTTTTTTAGGACATAATTGATTTATTTCCTTATTGGAAAAGGTTTAGTTGTTCGTTTTTAAATAAAAAAAATTAAGATCGCAATATTACATAATTAAAATTTATAATATAATGAATAATAGTAATGATAGTATAATGAATATTGAATAATGTATTCATGATAATAGAATAAAAAGGCACAATGAAGGACATCATCAAGATTTTATTGCGCTCCTTTGATACTTCTTTTCTGTGTTGACTTTTGACTTCTTTCCTTTAGAATAAAAGTTTTTTTTTTTTTTTTTTTTACTTTCTTTTCATTATAATATTGTCGTAATCGTTTACTTTTCTTCGTTATTTATTTTTAATTTTTTTTTTAATTTTATTTTCTATTATCTATTTCTTTTTCTCATATTTCTCTCATCGTGAAAAAAAACTAAAATAAACAATAAAAATATCAATCTACTTCGAAATATATAAAAATGGTTTCAAATCAAAATGCTTCATACCCAAAAATTTCACGATATTCTCAAATTTCTCCTTTACAACCGCCACCATATTCAAATGCTCGTTCAGATAGTCAAGATAATATAAATGAAAGAAAATTGTTATTTGTACATAGGCAGTCCGCTGAAGATTGTATATCCGAGAACACAAATAATAATAAAAATAGATTTCATCCCTATAGCATTACCCCAACTACACCACCCCCTCATATCTCATCATCACGTTTAAATAATCCTCTCCTCGAAAGGCAAAATAAATTTTTGGTTAGACCAAAAAATCAACAAACAGAAAAAGAACGGTATGGTTATCAAAGAGAATTTTATGCGTCCTCTAAAATTATCAATAATGTGTATAGTGGGTGAGTCAAATATTATGACAAAGATCCAGTATATGAATAATTTACAAGACAGTCATTTTGACATTTTTTAGCATATATGCTTGTTCAATAATCTATTTTTTCAATCTCATTCATTTTTTTTTTCTTAATTTTATGATAACTAGTTTACGAAAAGACTGGATATACAAACTTGAGGTAGTTCAGAATCCCAGTCGTGCGCGAGCATGTGGGTTTGGAAATAGGGTATTTATTTTTTAGATCACATGATGACATTTATTAACTCTACAATTGTTTTTTACTATATCATTATTTGTATCATTTAATGCTAATTAATTAATTAATTAACTTTTAAATTAATTTATAAATTTTATTATAGGACATACGACCAATTTCCCCCGCAATTATTGTACGACTACAAATCTATTTTGATAATGAACCTGTTGACATTAAGTATGTTATTAATTTTGTCAAAAACAATAGTTAACATTTGTCAGAACATTTCTCATATTTCTCATTCTTTTTCTTCATTTCATTCTATTTATTGTATTTTGAATGTTTGCTACATTTTCAATCAAAATCGTCTAAATTGTCAACATTATATTTCTTAAAATGAAAGTGAAATCGATGTACATTTCTTTCATCTGAGGGCAACACTTTTCGACGAAGAAACAAAAACAGATCATACAATTGTTTCAGTAAAAAGTACTCATCGATCTGATGAAGATATTGAAAACTTGGTAGGTAATAAAAGTTCGGATTGCAAAAAGCTTAATGACTTAAATGGAAATCCAGGATTGTGGTTTATATTTACCGAATTAAGTGTTCGTACGGAAAGAGATTATTTTTTAAGATTTTCTTTACATGATCTTGGATGGTACGTAAATATTTATGATGCTTTTATAAAGGAATGATTTTATTGAACGAAATTATAAAAATCAATATAATCATTTTGAATCATTTTATATTATTTTTTTTTTTTAAAAAAAAAAAAAAATAGTCTGGGACGTATATATACTGGAGACTTCGCTATGGATGAATTGGCCACTGTCGATTCTGATAATTTTAAAGTTTTTCGTAGCAATCAATTTCCCGGAGTAGCAGGTATGAGATCTCTTAGAATTATTTGATATTATTATTGTATTAGTAACTTATTATTGCTAATAATTAATAATTAATCTTTTACCTTCTCAAATTCTTTAAATTTTTCAATTCTTTATTTTTACTTTCAATCAAATTATCTAAATAATATTTAAACGATAGAATGTACAGATTTATCTGAATGTTTTGCTAAACAGGGAGTAAACATACCGTTACGACACAAAAGTGACAAACATTTTCAATTATTGTCATCCTCAAACTGAAATCTTAAGATAAATTAAACATAAATTATAACTCAAAAATAATTTTATATGCAATACTTCATATCATGCATAGTTATATATATATATATATATATATATATATATATTTTAATATATTCAATAGTAATTACTTTAATTCTTATCGTTTTTATCCAAGTTTTTTTTTTTTTTTAAAAAAAATAATAATAATAATAATTTATACGTAAAAAGGTAATTAAGATACAATAATTATGCAAGATATTATTTTATATTATATTCAATATTATTTAATATTCTAAATTGTTAGATTTTAACATATGTATTTTTTTAAAAAAAGGGATTAGTAGTTTGTATCTATCAAATCAATTAATAGTCTAAACTCATATAATGCTAAAACATCTCTCATTAAGGCACCTTTCATTATAGGTAGAAATTTTTAATCATAACCACGATCCATTTCCTATTATCGATATTTTTTATTCGTTTGGTCCGGGAAAAATCTTTTTTTTTTATTTATTTCTTTATTTATCATATTATATTTTCTATCGTTTATATCGTAGAATTGGCTAAATTATCATTATTTATTTATACATTTATTTTTATCATATATTATTTTTGGTACTTTAATCGCGAAAAAAATACATACTGTATATTTACTACGTATTGTTTTTAAAATATAGTATTTTTTGAGATTCTGGATTTTTTTGTCACAGATAATGAATTAGAATTGATTGGATTATAAATTGTTGTATTGGTTACAACAAGTAAAGGTAATAATGACAATAATTATAAATATGAAATATCTCAAGATGAATATATTCTTATTCAAAACAAAAAGAAATAAAAGTAATTTGTTAAGTGTTTTCATTTCAAAATTCGATATTAATAATTATTCTCGTGATCATTATACAAATACAATATAAATGCTAAAGTATCGTTTTTGAGACACCTATGGTTATTTTTTTGATAAATCAAATACGTGTGACAAAATGGTCATTTTTTTGATATGTTTATAATTGTTTTATTTATAGATGCATCAAAAAATAACTATTTTGTCACATGAAATTTGATATATCAAAAAATAACCATTACCTTTGTAATATAAATGGTTTCTTATCCTATTCCTTCACGTGTACATGTTGACTGCATGCTGGTATAGTTTAGAAATCACGTGTAATAACTTATGTTTATGAATCACGTATTTATTATGATAATAGGTTAGGTTAATAATATAATTAGCAAATTAGTAACTCTCATAAAATTTTTAAAGAATAAATTTTATTAATATATAAGATGACTTAGTATATGGAAAGAAGAGTAATTAACAGATAAGAGTAAGGTAGTAATTTGACTGATGTTAGAAATTTTTGAAAATTGAATATAAACCTGATCTAAACTAAAAATTTTAATTGAATAATAATAATAAATTAAATTTCTAAAATGAAAAGTGTGATATAATGGATTCTTGTTATTTTGATTTTATATACATTGTGAGAAAAAGAATGAAAATATAAAATCAAATTCTAGTTTAATGAGCTAATTTATAAATCTTAAATATAATATGTTTAAATTCATAAATCTTAAATATAATATGTTTAAATTCATATACAATGTGTACACTGAATTATTATTAAGACGTAAGGATATTCAATAAAAAGATCATTTGAATATCCTTACAAAACTTTACAAGACTTTGCATGTATCAGCAATTTAGTCTATGAAATATATCTAAGAACTTTTTTTTTCCAATATGAAAATCTTGGTGAAATAAATATTTGGATTTTTTATTTCTATCACAAATATATGAGATTTATAACTTGACAATAAATTAACTTTGAATATTAAAATTATTATTCTTAGTTTCAGTAGATATAAATAAATGTAATGGTTAAATAATAACAAATGCATAAAATGATTATTATAATTTCTAAAGGGAAATGTGTGTGGGGGGGTGTTAAATTTATTGAGCATTAATCGTAAATTATTGATTAAAATATTCTTAAAGTTAATGAGATACGTTTGATGAAATAAAGTTAATGCCAAAAAATAATAAATTTAATGATATCGAGTTATATAATATATATATGTATATATATATATATATATATATATATTTGAAAAAGAAATTCAATAACAAAAATAAAATGAGAGAAGCCAGAACAGTCCTCTTTTTATATAAAATTGCTATTCATAGGTTATTTATAAGTTAATTATTTATTTAATCATTTTTTTAAAAAATTAGATCGGGTAAACTATTTAATAATATTTTGATACAATTTCTCCCCGTAATTCATAATATGCAAATAATGCCATATTGAATATTTGTTTGTTTACCAAATACGAGTCCCCTAATAAATAATTTCACTATTACGATAGGGAATTAATTTTTATAAATTAATTAATATAAATAAATATGCAACTACATGTTTCTGCCAAAAAAAAAATTCCGTAATTTTTTCTTTTTCCTTTTCTTAATAATATTGGCTAATTACAATAGAATTCGAAAAAAATTAGCCAACGAAATTAATATCATAATACTTGATTTACAATCAGAAGCAGCGAAAGTACAATGATTTTATTTTAAAGTGGATTAAAGAATCAGCCATATAGATTTCGCATATTTACACATTCTGTCTTACATAATCCAAAAACATTTTTATTTTTTATATTTTTATGCTACTAGTTAATCACCATATAGGTAAAAGTACAAGGAACAATAAAAAGGCTAATCTGCAAAAAAAAAATAATATATTCCTGAAGCGTCTAGCAAAGTTACAGTTTGCAGCCGTCAACAAAATTTTTAATTTACAGCAATGACGTCATTCAGTGCATTATTTTTAATTTGGATTGACGTTTAATAATTTATTTATTTTAACATATTAACATAATTTGGCGCCACAAATCTAAAATGGAATTTATTAAATTATTTTTGAGGAATTATATATATTTTTAATGAATAATAAAAAGGATCTATCCGCCGTAAATCACGCAATGAAATATGCTCTCCGGATACCATTATGGAATTGATTGATTCTTTACATAATTTCTCTTTTAAACCCTACAAGAATGTGACTTGCATTTTATAATTAATCGCATGGTAGTGATTCAACTGCATTATTTAACTGCTTGAATAGGTTTAAAGGAAATTTAGGTAATTTAGGATCCATTTTAGTCATATATTAGTCATCGCATCAGGAAAATAAATTAGTCATCGCATCATTCAGGAGAATATATTAGTCATCGCATGGGAGAATAAAGAAAAAATAAAGAAACTAAATGTCTTTGAAAGATTAGTAAAGTTTAGATACATTTATCTTTGATTCTGTTCACAATTGTTCTTTAGTGCATATAACGACTTATTCTAAATAGGTTATGATTCGATGTAAATATACTGTTTTGTGTGCTTTGAAATCATAAATTAAATTTGTGTTACAAGAAATTTTTATATCCTTATCAATTATAAAGTTATTATTATTATAAAAGTTATAATTATAAAAGTTAATGATCTTTATTAATTTGAAAATTCTTATCTTAACGCCATAATTGTTACATCTTGTAACAACAACATTATCGATTGTGCGAAATTCCATTAATTTCTATTTTTTTTTGACGTAATGAAAAAATTAAATAAATAATAAATATTTATTTACCCCCAAATTTAAGATTTTAGCAAAAATTTTACCTATTTTTTTCTAAGTTTGGAAATAAATAAAATAAATAAAATGAATATATTCGGATCTTCAACCTCCTAAATCATATGGTCTGGATAAATTTTTAATTGGCATTGTTTTAATTATTAGTGGCACAACGTTGATATGCATTAAGATGAAAGAAAGAAGTTATTACTTTAATACCTCATGAGAAGTTTAAGAGAAGTTAGAATCAGTCTAAGAGCAGTTTAGATAAAGAATTCTTTATAAATTTCGCATTGCGTGAAAGAGACATGTTCAAAGAACAATTATTTCTAAAATTATGATCTATAATGAATGGGAGTATAAGTATTTCTATATAGAGAATATTTTGGTATAGAGAAAAAGGTTAGCCGAATCACCGATTTTTTAAAAGAAGAAAATCTTTTTTTAACAAAGAATTATTTCAGAAATTGGAATATCAAAGTTCCAAATAAAGAGTGATCTACTGATTCATATAATCTCTATAGATATTAGAAACCGTGTTGACAATAAAGAATAAAAAAAATATTTTATTTCATAACGATTTATAAATTTAAATATTAATATTGTATTCAATAAATTCTATACTACTAAAAGTATTCATAAAGTTATAATTTTTATTTGCATAGAATCTTTGCATTTTTGTTCATAGTGTTCATAGTTTACTTAATAAATATTAATTAATTAAATTAAAATTTTTTGGAATTTCTTGATTAGTAAAATAAAGTTACTTCATTTTATATATATAGAAATTGATTTTAAAGATTACCTTTTAAAAGAGGTTGGGAAAAAAACATAGTTATCAATTTATTCAATTTATTTTAATTTTTTTTTTTATTTTTAAATAAAATAAAAATTTCTCACTACACAATTTTATTTTTTTTCTTATGCCAAGGCCTAAATCATCCTTACACTTGAATGAAATGCTAAATGTAGAAAAATGAATGAAGGCTCGCAAATTCTGTAACCCTCAGCTGAAACAATTTTGTGAAATACTATTGACAAGATTATAAAAGAGAAAATTATCTATTATGATACTTAGAAGGGATTTCAAAAGCAGAACAAATGAAAGATATGAATTAGACTATAAAAATACTTTGAATAATTAATTAATATTAACATTAGAATTGAAGTGTTAAAAAAAACAACAGAAATGAAATTAATGAATCCATATGACTCAAGACAATCTTGAAACTCCATTTTGCTTTTTTTTTTTTGAAACATAATATCAGTTCTTGTATATCCAACATTATTTTAATACTATTTTTCTTATTATTATAATTAGCATTCATATGGTATTTTAGAATATATTGATGGTTTTTTATATATTAAATCAAAATAATTAAATTTCATTGTCTCATTGAGTACATCAACTATTGTGCTTCATTTAATTGTGAATATATGGTAAAACATTTAGAATCAATTTTTTGATATAATATCAAGAATTTCTATTATTCAATATCAATACATTGAAGAACATGAACTTAATTAGGTTTTATAAACGAATGAATTATGTCTTTTAACTTTTTTCTGATATTATACACATATTTATAATTAGATCTCCTTTTTTCCTTTTAATAAATGTTTAATGATTGCACGTGAAATAAAAACGTGACCTTTTTGGATGCATAATATTATGTAAAGGGCAACAAAATTCTTTGTATTTTTTTTTTTGAAAGATTATAAAATTCCTGGCATTTCGTTATGGTTACATTATTTTTTTCCATATAATGCAATGGGAATCCATTATTGCACATGGAACATAAAAAGTGACAGTTATGCGAATGTTTAAACTTTAATTTGTTGAATTTATAATCCGCAGTATAATAGTATCCATCTTGGAAAAATATTCTACCTTTGATTATAAATAAATTCTGCAGGATAATAAACCCCTCCCTTAAATTCTTTTTAAAAAGAAAAAAATGAGTTACTATAAAGAAAATACGAATTTGCAATTGTATTCTTGTACAACGCCTTGTTTAGTCCTTATGCAACCATAACAGACAAAATCTTTGGATTTTTTCAACGAGATTTATATTTGAAAAAAAAATAATTCCTCAAATCAAGTTTTCGCGCAGGTTTCATTGAAAGTAATACATATTATAAAAAACCCCATTGTTTTAATTATTGTCTGTTTATGCAGGTTCAGGCGTTTTTGTGGTTGTACCACTGAATCCATTAAAGTCGATCTTTTAATAAATCCAGTTATGTCATTTGATGATACCTGTGTCTGTTTGTTACGATATTTTTATTATTTTTTTTTCATGCATTTGCAATAATTTATTATAAATTCTTTAAAATTCTTTTCTAAAAAAAATAATTTTACTTCCAATAGGTATTTTATTTCGTTAAAAACTGAGAAATTGAACAATGGCATTCGTCCAGCTAAACGACCTTCAGCGAAAGTCATTAAATGAATTATTCGTTCACATAAAACACTTTAATAATAAATTCACTACATCTGTTCTTGATAAAAATTTAACAAATAACTTTCTTGAAAACATGAAATCCACATCAATTAGTTTGGTAAAATATTTCATTTATCAATCTAGAATGACTGTAGATGCTAAAACATTCAAGAATTTACGAAATGAAAATGAAGAATGGGATGAAGAAGTAAAAAAATTTGTAAAGTATGTGGGATTATTGGCTAAAGTGGATAAAAACACGGTGGATAAGAATACTTTAATTAAAGATTTTTATCGACACGTCAACAGTGAATCATTAGTTGAGGATAATAAAAGTGAGAATAGAAATGACGAGGAATTGGGAGGAGAAGGATATAGCGAGAGAGAAGTTGTTGGAGACTGGATAGATAAAGAATGGAGAATAGGATATGAAAAAGATTTTAAAAAATCGAATAATTTAAATCAACGAAAATCAGATAAATCCGATAAGTCAGATATAAAAGGTTGGGTACCAAATAAAGAAATGGATAATCAGCTAAAAGAAACAGTAAGATTAGTTAAGAATGAATTAAGAAAAAAAAGAGCTGAAAGATTATATATACAAGATGATATAACAAAAGAAAAAGAAAGATCAAAAAAGAATTTCAGAAAAGAAAAAAGAAACCTCGTCACAATTAAAAAAGAAGATGCAGAAACTGATGATTCTATTGAAGGGCGACCCACCATTCACAAACAGAAAATAAATAGATCATTATTGGCACCACAATTATTTGAGTCTGAGGAAGAATCAGGGGATGCAATGAAACAACTTGTAAATACACAAAAGCAAGATTTTTCATCGAAGAAGTTTGACGAGAAAAACCTTGAGAATGAACGTAGAGTAAAAAAACACAAATCTAAGGACACAATTAAGAAGAATAAGAAGAGAAATAATAATAATAAGTAAGTAATACAAATGAATATATTGATATATAAAAACTAAATTTTTATTTTAACATGAAATACTAAATATATTTAAATATATTTATAGTGACTGTTTGGAATCTTTTCTAGTAAGAGCACAATTTTTCGCCGTTTTTCTTTCATTAATTATATCATTACTGGTTTTTTTTATCGGCTTAATCATATTATGTCTAAGTTACGAGTCCTAAATGAGGGTTCTCGAATTTGGCATTTAGTAATATTTTGTTACATTCTTTGCATATAATATTTATAATATTTATATATATTTATATACATATGTTTATATATGTTTATATATATATATATATATATATATATATATTTATATAATAGCTTGCATTTTATTTTTCGGATTTTTCATCTCTGTAGATTTAAAATAATTCAAAAATCATTTATTTGTAAATAAAAAAAAAATCATGAACTTATCAGTTATTATATATATGTATTTGTCATTAGAGGAAATGATTGCCACCTTTTTTTTTTTTGGTTTTTTTTTTTTGAAGTTTCCTTTTGAAATAGTCGTGTAACGGAGCACTCCAAGCCTTACCTGATTTTTTTTCAGTGTACGGAAATTTAAAAATCGTATCCTATTCGCAAATTTATAAGAATTGCACCAATTATTAAGGGTTTGCTTTTGCGTAATATTCTATAAATACTAATTATCAGGAATTTATTTAGAAAATATTGTTTACAAAACATTTCTTGAAAATGTTCATAATGAAATGAAGACTTCTGAGAGAAAAATGATGTTGTGAAATAAGAAATAATAAATACGATTAATAGTTTGTAATAACAAATACGATGAACGGTTTACAAATAATAAGTAAGGATAAAACCAATGAGATAAGTAATTAATATTAATATAAAGTATTAAATCCAATTTTTGATATTTGGGTAATTGATTGAAAGAACCAACCCAACGTTTTAAATTCGTTTTTTTATAGGATAAAAAGTTTAGATTTTAAAACAATAACGCACATGTCAAATTATGTATAAACCTGTTGTAACAATGTTGCTAAATTTACCTTAAAACATGGAACATCTAAATCCAATTTTTCATCTTGATTTTAATTTTGGGGGGATTTTATGAAACGAATCCGTGCGTTTTTCTTCATTTTTTTTTTTATATGTTATATTTTTTCTTTTGTAAAAAAGATTGCTACTTCAATTGATTTGTTATAATCTAAGTTTCCAAGTAAAAATATTTGGTACGATGAGATTAAATAAGGTTCATCAAAAATAGAAAAAATCAATCCCTGTTAAACATTAATATCTGGCAACAATGAAATGATGAGATCATGTCTAATTTTAGGAATTTTGATTTATTTGTACCTCGCGATATTTTTTTTCAAAATTAGATTTTTCAGTCCCTTATGAATTTAAATTGATAACAGTGGTGCGTTTAATACCCGAAGCTAAAAAATAATGTTGTGTAAATACATCAAATTGAATTGGACAAATCAAAACGAGATAGCTGATAGTTCGAATTTTTTAAAATTTATTTCAAAAACCAAATAATTAAGTATTTGACAAACTATGGAATAGGTGGCTTATTTTTAAACTATCACGCGATTTCTTTGCTTAACTTCCTTAATATTATATTTTGTCTTGTGAAATAAAAGCCTAAAATACACATGTACAAATATTTAGGCATTTAAAATCAATCTCTACATTCTTTTTCTTTCTTTTTTTTTATATAAATACTCCTCACCGTTTTCCCAGGTTTTTGACTTTCGTAGTTGCAAGACTATCACCGTTTTTCATCATTTTTAATAATATGTATAAGACTTTCTTCCGGCATTTTCATTCGAATTGAACCCAAATTGAATGTCTGTTTCGCCCAATTCTATGGGGCAGACTTCACGTTAAAGAAAAATTCTATGAGTGTTAATAGTAAGCTTTTAAATGTTATTTTCGCGATCAAATAATTGACTTTTACAATGATTTTATATCGTTTTTTTAACGTTCTAACATACTGGTTAGAAATAAAATTTATATTTGAAGATTCGATGAAATAATTTATTCGACTTTTTTTCTTCTTCGGAATAATTCTTTCAAATACAATATATTTCACAATAAAATATGATGTTTTTTATTTTTTTTTTTCAAATACAATATATTCAACAGTACAATACGTTTTTATTTTTATTATTTGTATTTTCCTTATCTTTAAAAAATTTTTTTTAATAATTTTTCGCATAATCACATTGCTTTGACACACAATTACAAGATACCTCGCTCTAAATTAAATTTTATTCGAATTTACAGACTTCAAATTGAAGACATTTTATTTGGGATATTTTTGGATATTTTATTCTGATCTAAAATGTTATTAGTTTACGTTTGTTACCCACTTTCAAATAGACCACCCTTTTATTATAATTCTTTTGATTCATATGGAAAATTTTTAGCACTTGATTTATGACTTGATTTTTAAAAAAAATTGTAACTTTTCTTCGTTCCGACTTTAATCCACATATTTTTTTTAATAAATTTCAAGCCGCAGAATAAATCTTTGCTATTAATATTAAAATGGACTTGAATATATAAATATATATTCACTATTAGCTTTATAATCTTGAATGTTATTTAATCACAGCTTTATCTATCATGAGCATTATTTTATTTTCTTGTACTTTATTTCAAATGTAGGCAATTTTTTTTTTTTGTATAATTATAATCTTTTTTTCTGTGTATTCCTATGCAATCTTTTTGAATTCTTCCAATATATACAATGACAAAATATATTAAATATTATATTTATTTTTTTTTTAATGAAACTGATTTTAAAAGTAAACCTTATGTACACTCCCTAGCAAAAGTATTTGTGGAAATGCCAATTGTGGCATCTAAATGGTACAAACTTTTTTTTTATTAGATTCCGGCTATCATATGATATATTTTGTGATAAAATCGAACACCTATACATAGAGATATTACGCTTCAAATGAAACTGACAAAAAATAATAAATTTATTCTTAGATCGTTACCTATACCGCATTCGATGGGTATTAAAGATAGA